ATTTATTTTCTGCAAATATATTTTATTATTTAAAGGTTTATTAATTTTTTTTTTCAATATATTTTATACGTCAAATTAGTTTCGCATTCATCATTTGGTTAATATGGAAATAATAAATTCCGCTCTGAGCTGCATATTTATTTATTTTTTTCGCATAAATTTGCATATTTTTTTACCGAATGATTGCAGTTGCTGCATTGGCCGATTGCTAACAATTGAAAGTTACAAGTAAAAATAATAGTGTAAATTAAATAAACAATAAAAGAAGTTGCAAATAAAGCAAGAGCAAAGTTGAACAATTGCCTGACTCTCCGTCCGACTGTCTGATTGTTGCAAGTGACTTCAAGTGCTGTGAAATGTGCCCATTTCAGTTGCCAGTTCAGCTGTCAGTTTGTCAGTCTGTCAGCCAGTTAGTCAGTTATGATAGAGTCGGCAAATGTTTCTCGTTTTGTGGTTGGGCTCTGCCCAATGTTTTCAACGTAATCAAAAGTTTTTAATTCCATTTGCAGTTGCCCTTTCATATTTTATTTTCGAGAAATATATTATTTGTTGAAAGTATGCCCATCTCTTTCTCACTCGCTCTCTCTTTCTCATTCTGTAGTTATGTTCGTTTGATGTTGCTTGCTAAAGGCAGTGTTTCAAGGCGAAAATTCCTTTGGCATAAAATACTTTTTAAGGTCATTAGCAAACATGGCTCTGTTTGTATAGCAGATAGTTTTAGTTCACGCAGATCCATTTTGGGCACTACTTCCAAGGTTAATAACCTGCGTACTTATTATGAAATAATTTTTAATGAAGTGAATAGAGGTAGGAGAATATGCTAAGTGAAGCATAGAGGGGAAAGGGTTAAGGTATGTTAATGGTATATATGTATCACATAAATCTATATAAATTTTATCTGGGCAGTTTATGGAAAATAATCAACAGCTTATAAATGAATCTAGAGCTAGAAAATTTAGCATTTATAATAGAGAATTATACATATAAAGAGATCCCTTCCTAATTCTTCCATTTTCAACTATGCACAGTCAATTATTTCAATATAATATGAATTGGGTCAGTCGCTTTTCAAATAATAAAAGAGAATCTGAAGAAGAAGAAAAAATGATTTAATAATATTTTGTTGAAGAGAAAACTTTTCAGTTATCATAAATTAAGGAACATAAATTTCGCGCTGCAATTTATGGGCAGTGCCAATAAAAACCGAGACTAAAGCTCAAAAACTTGCAGCTAACCAGAGCGAGAGAGAGGGAGAGAGGCAGATAGATATATAGAATGAGAAGCAGCATGAGTGAGTTGTGGAGCCAACAAATTGCGTAGCTGGAGTGTCAGTCGCTTCGGCTTCGGCTTGGGCTTCAGCTTGGGTTTGGGCTGGCAGCGTCAGCTTCCATTTATTAATTTTCGACATTGCACACTTTATTACAAAAAGTGGGCGTGGCTGTGCGCCAATTTCAGCCAACATGCAGCCAAGTATTGCATCGAGCACAGAAAGTAACAAAAAAATAAAAATAAAGGAAAGCAAAGGCAAAATACAGAAGGCAAAGGGCAGAAGGCGAAAGGCTGAAACGAAATTTTATGCAAATATTTTCAACTAATATTTTTTTGTTTTTGCCCTGTTTTTACCATTAACTTTTACATTTTAAAATTCGCATGTGCATAAAAATTTGGCAGCGTGCATTCCCTCGCTTTTTCTGGCATTTCCACCAGAATTTCCACACTTTAAACGGAACTTGAATTTAATACAAATATTAACTTGGCCGCTCAATAATTAAGTTAATATTTTTTTACTAATTTTTTTTTAAAAAAGACTTTGTATAAATAGCAGCAATGTGAGAGGGAGAGAGAGAGCCTTACTTAAGGCAAAGTTTTCGCTTGTTGCTGTCAAAGCGCACATTTCCAATAAGAATTCCAAGTTGATAAATCGAATAAGAAAAAGTTTTTGACTAGCGTTGCCACCTTGCAGCAAAATGCAACGGCTGCTGCAGCGAAAGCTCACGTAAGCGCAAAGCGGATTACGATTGACAGTTGGACATAAGTTGTATAAGAAAAGTACAAGACTTTTGGAAGAGTTATGGTCAGCTGTATAAGAAAAATATGAGGGACTTGTGGAATAGTTATTGCCAAGCTGCCAAGAACCTGTGGCTCAACCTAATAAAAATGTCTGTCAACAGAACTGTAGTAGAAGATGGGCAACGTAATTTATTATAATATATGTATGTATGTATGTATAAATTAAATACGGTTTTTATCTTGAAGCTCATCTCGTAATCACTTGTTTCACCTGTTAGCCTCTCATTTAGGCTTATCTAGGGATTGTTAAATATTTGTTGAGCTTAAATTTCAAACGCTTCATGGTCGTTATGTTAATACACATTTGCATACTTAAACACAAATCATAAAAGCACCGTTGCCCGGGTCAACCGGACGGACTTTTCGTCCGTTTTGTAAATGATACGCGACGCGACGTTTCGCTGTCCAAGCCCAAAAATTATTTCTTTTCGCTTCCGCAGATACATTTCTCTCCCTTTTTATTTTATTTTTTGTTCTTCTCTTTTTCTTATGCTCTTGCGTAAATGTTTGCTGTTGGCTCATAAATTATGATGTGCGAGTGTGTGTGTGTGTGAGTGTGTGTGCGAGCACGAGAGAGGACTGGGTCTGGGCTGAGAGAGCGCGTGAGAGGACGAGCGCGAGTCTAACGGACAGCCGCTGCTCGTTTGCTATCCCTTTCTCCCTTCCTCCTGCGGTTTCCTTAGCTGGCACCGCTTCATTTGCCTGCCCTCGTGCCTTGGCCATTGGCCCCCGCCCGCTCTCCCAAGGGCTCAGGTCTCTGCTGTGGTCTGCGTATTTAGTCAAAGTCAAACAAAAACGGAAGGACGAAAAAAAAAAAAAAAAAGAAAAGACAACCCGAAAAGAGGAGGCAAAAATACAAAAAAAAGCTGGCATTTTTTATGCTTATTTTATACACTTTTCGACTGTTTATGCTGTGTTTTATTTCTGCTTGCTTTGCTTTTTCATTCTTCATCTGTTGGCGCTTTGTTTTAATGACTGCCAAAGAGCTTAAAGCTCATTATCCCTATTTATCTCTGCGTAATTGGCTCATAGATGATTTTGTTGTTGCTGTCGTTATTGCTGTTGTTGTTGCTGCTGCTGTTGTAGCTGTTGTTGTAGTTGTTATTGTTGTTGTCTGCCTGGTCCACATTATTGGTGCGTGATGCTGTCGCTCCTTCCCCATACGCTTTGTTTATTGCCGTTGTCCTTTGTGATAAATTCTTATCTTAACTTTTGCCACCCAGCTTATCGCAGCTGACAACGTGCCTTATCTGCCTTGCCGCGCATTAGCGCGCCTTACACTTTCCTCTGCGCCCAGCGTCGAAATTATGCAACAGAATCGCTTCGCTGTTCGTTCAGTTCTCCCCATTTGCCCCACCCTTCCACTTACCTTCTTGCTGGAGTGCTGATAATAACGGCGCGGATGCAGCGCACACATGTATCTGTCCACGGCCATGCAGACGAGTATAACGGCGCTTTGCTGCGATAAGGCGCCACGCAGCAGTGCCTGGCGAGCGTGAAAGGAAACGAGAGAGACAGAATGAGAGAGTTAGAGTGGGAGAGGTACACATATGGTATGCATATTTAATATTTTATTTTAAAGAAATATTAATATTTTGTCTTGCTTGCCGAACAATATGTTTCAAGACTTTTCAGTAAACGAAATCTATATTTAAATTTGATATTGACTTTTTGTTTGGCTAAGAGTGGATTTTGATTGACGCATTTCACAACCAGATTCTGTAAGACTCAAGGCAACTGTCTTTTGATAGCTTGAGTAATAAACCGTTAACTTCAGCCTTAAAGCTTGTATTCAAGATGAAGGAAATTATGTTGCGACCCAATAAGAATGATATAAAATGAAATTGATTTAAGACAAAATAGGTTAAAGATATTATTTTCAATTTGATATTTATATTGCAGCTAATATAATATTATATATCAAATAGTTGCTTCAGTTCAGCTGGAACTAGTTTGAGGCAACTCGACTTAATATGTGGTTTATTCTGATTGGAATATCAAAGGACCAATTTTTAAGGTATTAGCTAAGGATTTCACGTTGACTCCGATAAGACAATTAAGTATTGGCCAATTGTATTATTTGCCAATTTATCAATATCAATTAAACCAAGTTAACCAGGTACTTAGCCGCCATGCAATTAATTTGTTTTTAAACATAAGCCCTCGAAACCATTGACACCGTTAGCTGCTCATGGCAACTAAGCCAGGCGAATAATGTACGTTAATGCATGTGGCTTAAATGCAAAGCCCGGCTCATTGTCCGGCTTATGAACACAATAATGCATTAGTTGCACATCAGCTGCCCCGGCCCGAACAAGGGAACACAATCGTATTACATGTTTATAATTGGGCCATGATAACATAAGTTAATTGCCGCCACTACTACCTCAACTCACCTGTATCTGGCAGAAGATCTCGCCATAGGGCCAACAATGAAACAAAGCGGGCATCAGACCAAACGGCGTAATTAGCAGCCCAATTGTCAGGTCATTCAGGGCCAGCGATGTGAGCAGATAACGTGGCTAAAAGCAACACAGACACAGAGACCGTTAACCGCTATTGCAACGCAACGCTTGCTTAGACGCCAACCCACTCACCTGTTGATGTATGTAGGCAGCATAGCGCCGATTGTTAATGACAAAGATGACCAGGCAATTGGCCCCAATCACGCCCAGAGTCAGCACCAGTATCAGCACAGCCTCAATCGTCTCCGCGATGCCAATGTGCACGATGAAATTGTGGCCGGAGTAACGCGGATGCGAGCAGCTCGAGTTCTTCACAGCCGGCGCCACCAGCAATGAGCCAGTCTTCAGGTCCATTGCAAAGCTGAAGGTAGAAGAAATTGAAATTTATTTATATTATATAAAAATGTTGCCAAA